TAACATCGCCACGGCCGTGTCTTGACCTCTGACCTATGATGGGCGTGCCGTTTGCTGTGCTGGGCAGCAGGTCGTTCATGATGAGCAGAAAGACGGTGTAGCCCAGGATGAGGGTCATCTTGAAGGAGGCGCGGTCAACGCTGTGGGGAGGCAGGTAGAAGGACAGGATGTCGATGAGCATGAGGAAGGAACTGGGGATGAGCAGGTTGACCACATAGAGGACTGGACGCCGCTTGATCACCACCTAGTGTACAAGACAGGTATGTTCAGTATAAATGCATCTCTGTGGATGTGTAAATTTGACAGCTAGAAATTGAATGTGTTGGAACAATTACTTATATTATCAACTTTTAAGATGATAACAACAACATTCATTTACAGACATTTTCTGTAAAACTCAATATTTACTCATTTTAAGGTAAATTTTTGAGGAAACTTTCTTTAGCTTTTAGATTCAAGCACAGTAAACATTGTGTAAACTGATCTCCTTCACCCAGAAGGTGATGATGTCCCACTCGTCGATCCCAAACTGGAGGATAGATGTCTCTCCCAGTATGTCCACCAGCTCCCATTCCCCGCTGGCTTCCAGGTAACGCTTTGAGTTTCCAGACATCTCCTCAAAGGTCAGCGCTGGACTGATCCTCACATCCCGTACTGTGAAAAAGGAAAAGACATTGAGAGAGAGAAAACATTTAAGCCAAACATCAGTTAAAAGTTAGCTTAATGCTAAGTGACCCTGATTTTACATTGCGATTATTAGTTTTCTTCAACTTTTCATTTGTATTTATTTTCAGTCCCTGACTCACATTTTCAGACCCATTGTTGCACCAGCATGACTCGATAAGTTTATGTTTGTGTGATTGTGTATTTGTCATGGAGCCTTTTCTTACTGGTGTGCATGTAGGAGCCAAATGTGAATGTGCAGTTCTGCACATCAAAGGGAAAACTGAAGATCTCCAGGTTGCAGGCTGAGACGAGTCGCAGCATCCTGTCCCAGCGGATGTGACCCGTGTGGTTGACGTAGACATAAGGACACGCTTGGGACACGTCATCATCCACACTTGAAGGGTTGGAGGTGAAAGAGTCAGGATCAAGTATAAGATAATAGTAAAATAAACCTGCTTTCTCAACACAGCGAAATGAAACTTACAACTCATAAACAATGATGTCAGGAGACCAAAGCTGCTTCACGGGGAGAGAAATCCTGGTGACGCCATCACACTCATCAGGGTCCCAGACCAGGAACTCATGCTGCCAGTACTGCAGTGAAAAAAGTTCCAATATAACATTTGATTTCATTTTTCATTATCATCTCTTCGTGTTACTTACCAGTCTGAGCCACAGGAAAGTAGTAAGAATCTGGGTCTTCTCATTCTGAAATCACAGTAAACAGAAGTGTAAGCTAAAGTAAAGCTGGCTGCTTTCTCTTTAAGGTCAGAATTAAGTCACACATTGCATAGACTGACATTTACCTACAGCAAACATCTGCCTGACATTTTCTCTGTCAACCACTGCACAGGTTCTCTCAGCACATATTTATCCTGGATTTAGGCATTTTTCTATAAAGATCACTTTAAATGAGGATCTCACCACTCCCAGGACAGCGTAGAGGGTGAAGGAGATGTTGGTAATGGTGGGATTACTGAGGTTCACCGCTGGCCTAAAGGGCTGCAGGTCAAATACAGCCTGCATGGACTCGAGGGTCGGACCACTGTGACCGTCTTTACACGACAGTTTACTGTGACACAGAGACGCTGACAAGAGAAGAGGGGGGGCGTTGTTTTAATTAATAATAATTAATTTAATAATTTAATAAAATACTGACTGCTGCTACACTAACACCTTAACTGCGAGTTTCTCACCAATCATTTAAGAGCTGTGTTATTATTATGAAGCTGTAAAACAACATTTTAAAACAAATTATTTTGCATTTAAAGATTTTAAAGGTTAAAAAACAACAAAATTATCGTAGCATTCTCATTAAGTTACTAAATAAACATCTCACATATCAGAAAAAATCAACAATCATACGACACATAACAAAATGAGCTTTGAATAATAGATTTTGATATTAGACAGGTCATGGTGGCATCCTTTCATCCTTGCTGTGTATATTAGTTGAAAGATAAATATTGAAATGTGGTGGATGATAAAGATGTTGAAGGTTTTTCTCCTCCACCAGAAAAGATGGTGTCTCTATAAGTCCACTGTGAGGATAATTCTAGACCTGAAACAGACTGAATTATTACTGAAATAATTCAAATGATGAGAATGAGCCACGTCTCAGCTGCAGAGCTAAATGTGCTTTAGTTTGGGAAATAAGACACACGCATGATTTCAATCGATAAAGTAGAGAAGAAAAGAAGATGATCATTACCTGATATTAAGAGTAAACCTGAGATGATGCCGATGCTCTGCTGAGATGAACCCATGCTGGATGTTTCTGAGGGAACAAATCACCTCCACAAACATCAACCTACACACGTATGAGGTAAAGAGGACTCCTGCTGACAGTGAACATACACACATACCTGTTTGTGTAACTTAATGATTAATTAGTTCTCTGGAGACTTAACACAACCACCACATGGCTAAGACCAACCAATAACCTAAACCCAAACCAAACCCTCACCCCAACAAGACCTAATACACGAGTAACCCAAGTTCTGCATCCATAGTCTGTCTCCATAATTTAGATTTGTTATAGGTTTGTTATACATATCAATATACACAAAACTCCAATTACAAATAGTCAATTTATTAAATTATATATATACTGTATTTCCTCAAATTAAAAATTGTGATATTCATACATTTATGTCTCAAATGCTTTGACCTCAGATGATACCAGGAAGAAAAGCGACCACTGTGTGAAAGCTAATGAGGAGCCAGACACAAAAAAGAACTGTATTTTAAAGTAGTCCTAAAGCTTCAATACAGTACATCAATAAATGTAGATACAAAACACACAACACACAGATGGATCATAAACTCACACAGGTAAACGTGGAGCTTGTTGTTCCACACCTTCAGTAACCACTCATCCATTTTATTTTTCAACACCTCCACCTCTGGGGGTTAAATCTGTTCCATGGTTATTATTGATTTTATGCTGTTTTATAAACCTGTGATTCACTGTTAAAGACATGCTGTCGAAGTGAAGGAATCAACATGAACCCAGATAGTTTTTGGTCAAATTAAATCTTGTATCTTCAGTTTATCTGTACAACAGAAACAGGGACAACTACAGAGGAGAGGTCTTAACTTCCTTATTTTAAACAAGAACAAAAACAACTGAAAGTCACAATCACATAATTAAAAAAAACATTCAAAGAAAAACCCCCTGCTTCTAATGACTCTAGAAAATCAGGGGCTGTATCTAGCAAAATGCCAGAATGTGTGTGTGGGGATATATCACAATGTATATAAAGATGGATGACATGACGCTCCCAAAAGTGAACCCAAAGCGTCCACATTACCCCCTGGTGGATGGCTGCAGTATAGGTCATTACCCCTGCCTCCTCCATGTTAATTGACCTGTTAAAATACACGTAAATTACATTTTTCTCAAAGGTCACAATTCTCCATCTTAATCAGAGGCAGGAGGGTGAAGATCAAAGGAGCTGATATGGGCCCAAAAACAGGGTTCGCTACTCACATGGCTGTACACTGATTTTCTACAGTTCAATGAATAAGACAACAGTCTGAACAAACAGCACAGCCTGTTTCTGGTTTTCTAAATTCAGCCTCACCTCGCACAACTCCCATCTGAATCACTTGCCCACGTCAGCGTTGCACTATTTTTAGTAAAACTGCTTAAACAAGAATGTGTGAATCATATTGTTGTTTTATTCTACTCAGTTTATTCTGGCAGTTTGCCCCGACCAGGACAAATATTGTCAGCACACACCTCAATGAGAATTAGTGTGAGTCAGCTCTTACGTTCGTATTAAACACAATATGAAACAGACTGATGTTCTCATGAGAGGACACACAAAAGACGGCTTTCGTAAAGGAGAAGCAGCTTGTTTTATTAGTTTCGTAATTATCATTTCTCTAAAATGGCAGACACATTTGAAACACATTACATAATAACTTGAATAATAATAAATACAAAAGAAGAACACTTTATTTCTTCTGTTGTGTCTACACGCTTTATTAATATTGAAATCATCAATCAACGATGCCTTTCTAGCTGTTTTCACACATGAACTTTGGAAAATGCCTGTAAAATTGAGTTTGGACCTATTCCAGGGTTTATGTTTCAGATATGAAGAACGCAGCAGTGTTTGTGTATGGTTCTTCTTGTTTATCCTGGGATATTTGTATTCTTTTGTTTTTTACGACCATCTCGTGTTGGAAAGTCATCAACATACCCGCTCACTTGCGACGAAATTTACGGACATCGTCCAGGGTTCAATGCATGTCTGAAAGTAGCTTATAGCATCACTTCTGTAACAGAGAGTGTGGGGAAATAACATCAACTTTACAAACAAAAGAGAGAAGAGTTAATGGAACCTGAAACATGGCACACCAGCCAGAAGAGATCGAGTGGGAGGAGAGAACAAGAATGATAGAAACTAGAAGTGACACTATACAGATCAAGATGGATTTCACAAAGTTCCCCCTCTTACTGACCCACTGATGTGAAAGAAAAGAAAAAAGAAGAACTCGTAACCTGTTGTTGCTTCACTGACAATGCAAGAAAAACAATTGTGGGGATTTCAAGCTCTCTCAGATATTGAGCACTGAGGATGTGGAAATCCTCAGTGCCTGTAAAACAGTCTCTGTAAAAAAGATCCTTTAAAGAATAAAAAGAAAATAAATAATTTGAAATGAATAATGACGGGAGGACGGATGATTTGGGATGTCATGTCACATTACATTACTTTCAAATATAATTTTAACTGGCCTTTAAGTTTTCCTCCATCTGCCTAGAAACAATTAACAAGAAAAATAATATGACTCTGCATCTAAGAATAAGAGCAAACCAAACAAAATCAGGTGTTGTAGGACCGCACCCAGATGATGGTGATGGTAATGAAGCTGAATGATATGAAGAGGATGTAGAGGCCGCACAGGAGGCGTTCTATGATGCAACCCACCTGGATCCACTCTTCCGAACTCTGGTTCCCAACCAGATGCTGCTCCACCCGGAGGCGGAGACCCTGGAGCTCCTTACCCAGACTCCTCAGCTCGTCTAAGGCCTTGTCCTCATTCAGAGGTCCTTTCTGCTCTGGAGCATCAATGTCCTCTTCTACCACAGAGGAAACTTTCATTTCTGTTGCAGAGGAGACACAGGAAGAGGTGAAGGAAGCTCTGACTTTTTACTCTGACTTGACTACTTATTCAAAGCATGAATAGTTGAGCATATGTAAAATCACATCTCAGGTCTTACTACCATGTGCTGCAGGGTTTTGCATGACTGTGACATCTTGTAGATCTCTGGACTTTGGAGGAAGCCGCACCAGTCGGCCCAGGATATGGAGAACAAGTACTCTGATCCAGTGAGGAACTGCAGAATAATGAGTGGAGCCGCACAGCAGGTTGGTGATGAGGATAGTCTCCAGCAGACTGGCCACCATCAGAGCCAAGCACAGACACAGGAACACGTCTGGGATAACAATTAGTACTTTTGTTTAATGTGTGGGATTTAGTGGCATCTAACAACAACAAAAACAAAACAAAATACTTATCTACCTCTACTCTGCATCTTTGTACATTTTTGTTTTGTATTTTGCACTAAAAAAGAAAAAGAAAAAACTTTGTACACTGTATTTTGTAAT